TTTTGGGCAACTTTGGAGGGGGATGATGAGTGAGTGAAATTTTTATTTTCACAAATAAAAAGCCCATAATTCCAAAAAGAAGGAAAGCATAAGCATAGGAAAAATGTGATGTTTACTACTACTGACACAATGTGCAAAAAGAAAATGGAGATGAAATTGAATGTGGCAAGTAGTGCTGGTGGAGATGTGCCAACTATAGCTGCTTTTTGTCTGGCAGTGTGCTGAAAGGTAAATTCAGACATAGACTAATATTCTCCCAGAGGTTTGGACCTTGCAAATGGAAGGGCATAGCAAGCTAGACTCCCAGCCTCAGATTGGCCAGCAGGCTGAGTTCAACACCTCTCCAGAGAAGGTTATGCAAAAAACATAGCCATAGTCAAGGCAAATGAGTGTTTCTGTGTTCTATAATATTTTCTTCAATAAGCTACTAGTCATTTGATTTTTCTCTTTTTTATTCAAGTAGATGTGTGATTGTGATATCTCAACAATATCAAATGTGATAGCATATAACTTTCTTTTTATTCCATTACCTAAGCAGGTATTATTTTTTATTAAGTTTATGAATAAAATATGTTGCATATACCGGTAAATTATAGCAACATTTTAACAGTCGTTCATAAATAACTATCATAATGGCCGTTGAGTCTGTAATACCATATAGCATCCACTTGTAATCATCTCTAACTTTCAACAATATAGAAAGAAAAATGTATTGCTGTATCTCATTTATATGGTTATTCTTCCATAAATTATGAAAACAGACTCTTTTTCAATACATCTATTTTCCTGACTTCTATAGTAGCTCCTTGAAAAGTTTTCAATTTCTTCTTCTTCTTCTTTTAAAAAAGCCAAACCAATACCCCAAATCTTTTTGGTATATGTGAAGTTGTCAGAGGCTTGGCAATATTACAAATGAATGCCATTATCTCTAAATCCATTGCTTTTTTCCTTGAAAAATAGGTGCCAGTACTCACCACGAAGTTGTCACAGTAAGTGCCAAACTTTTTAACAACAACCAAAAGAGGTGCCGGCACTACATATCCTTGAGTACCCCCTGAAGAAGAAAAGTGCTGTCTAAATCAATTGGTTCAATTCTGCTTTTAGGTAACTTTGTTGAATCAAAGGTGAAATGTTTTGGAAGGCCTGCAAACACCATCTTGGTAGTCAAGATAACCCCAAAACTAATTGGATGTTGTTGCAAGAATGAGCTTATATATTATACTCACTTGCTTTGATATATGCTAATAGGCTTGCTTTGATGCTGGGCTTATCTGTGGACCCTGGGATGCTGGGATGCTGGGCTCTTGGCCCAGAGAGGGGAGCTGACTGCAACCTTTGGATGGTTGCCACCTGTGGCCTAACCAGTCAAGTGAATTTATCACTCTGACATTTTTGACATCCTTTCTTTGGTATCTCTGCAGCAAACAACTGTGATGAGCCCTTCTTTGGGCTGGCGGATTGGGACAATAACCCAAAGGAATAATCTTTGGATCCAAAGAGATGTAATATCCTGATATGTCCCGAATCTCACGTATATCATTCTTCCAAGAAACAAGACTTATAATACACCCAAAATGTAAGCCATATGAATCATGACCTAACCACCCTGTGCCCCCACCAACCTTAAAAATACTTGTGGTCCCTGAAGAATAGGCTGAAGTCTCCTGACACTCTGTTATTGCTATTCCTTCAGCTACTTCCCCCTTTGAGATGGTGGCTCATGTTCTCTATGCTTCGCAAACATTCTTTACCCAAAAGATTGTGTCACCTGGTGTGAGTCAACTGTTTGCAAGAAAAACAACAGCAGCAAGAAGTACCCAGAGTGAAACCTGGAATACAACTTAAGGCTATCCTTTACTTCATTATCCATCACTCACCTTATGAGTCATTAGCAAAAAGGATGTGTCCAGGATGTTTCACCAATAGTTGGAAACTAGAGCAATACAGTGATGCTTCATGTTGATGTAATTATTCAGGGTGTTAAAGTGCATAGAAATCAGGATTGTAATCTGGAACATGAACAATTATTGGACACAATGTTGGGTTCAGCTTGCAAGTATCTTGATGTCTCAAGTTATAATATCTTATTTATACTGCAGCATCAGAGTGAAAGAGGACAAGTCCCTGCCCTGAGGAGCTTATAGTCTAATATTCACACATCAGACAGGTATTCTGAGAGGCAGCACAGCATAAAGGGCAGCAGGGAAGAGAGGGTGGAGTCATTTGGGGCAGTGGGTGGTGGTAGAGCTGGTGGAGCAGACCTGTATCAAGATATAGGAGCTGAGGGATAAGGGGTGGAGAGGAAAGGCCATATTTCTGCACTGCAATGTAAACGCAGAAGTGGCAGGACTTGGATACAGACTGAATATGGGAAACAAAGGCAAGAGTGGGGTCTCAACATGGTAGCATCTCCAAACTGACAAAAGGGTGAACAGAAATCTTTTATCCCAGTGCTTAAAACAGACAGTGATGGAGCCAGGAAAGTTTCCCTGGGTAAAGCATTCCATAAATGGAATTGCCATCCTCCACACCTACAACAGAGGAGGCACCGGGAAAGGGCCTCTGTTGACAATCACAGTGTCCAGGTAGGTTCATGAGTACTTCAAGTTGTGCACTCGGAGCTGTCTGTGGTGCTGCAACTACTGACCTGTCTGGTCCCATGGACTCCTCTGCAGGACCAGAACAGGGCAGCTACCATATTTTTCCATGTATAAGATGCCCCCATGTATAAGACACCCACTGTTTTGGGGGACTCAAAATTAAGAAAACACCCCTCAGCATGACCCGTGTATAAGATGAGCCCCAATTTTAAACCCATTTTTTTTGGGTAAAAAAAAGACCTAGTCTTATACACAGAAAAACACAGTAATTTGATGCGCATCTCTAAGACCTTGGTGGGCAAAGTGGGTGGAGTTGTTCTGACTCACCTTTGCCCACCAGGTTCGTGGTGCATTCCATCCCCCATCCCAGGAGACCCCTCCATCTTGGGGCAGCCACCTGGTGTTGGGCCATAGAGACATGCTGCTGGCATACTGCTCAACTTGCTGCCTCACAGTGTCCCTGACTGAGATGGTCCTGACGGTTGTGTTGGAGGAGCCCAGTACAGTGCTCCTGGATGATGCCAATAGCCATGCTGAAGTCACCACTAGGACTTCATGGCAACCATGGATTTGTCTCAAATAGTCATTGGTCCAGCACACAGAGCAGGACATACCCTTATTTATTTATTTTTGTCCCAGATGATGATGGAGGCTCAAGTGGCCTTGGTCTCTTGGAGTGCTTTTTGCCACCTTGGATTTGATATCCCGCTTTATCACTACCCTAAGGAGTCCCAAAGCGGCTAACATTCTCCTTTCCCTTTCTCCCCCACAACAAACACTCTGTGAGGTGAGTGGGGCTGAGAGACTTCAAAGAAGTGTGACTAGCCCAAGGTCACCCAGCAGCTGCATGTGGAAGAGCGGAGACACGAACCCGGTTCACCAGATTACAAGACTACCACTCTTAACCACTACACCACATTGGCTCTGGTGCAAGTTTTGGGTTGTTGCAATGCGCTGTTTGTGAGGCTGCCCATGCACTTGGTCCAGAAACTGCAGCTAGGACAGAATGCAGTGGCAACAGTTTGTGGATGGGGTTGCCATGCAACAGCATATCCAATATATCACCTTAACCCCCTACCCCAATATAACCGTTCACTGTTGTTGTCTATGGGGGCCATGTGTGCCTGAAGTTCATTTTACGGCAGCTCAGATTAGCTCCTTCAGTGTGGGAGCATCTGCCTTGTGGACCACACAGGCCATTGAAGCTAGACAGATTGTACACACATTTCATGGTATGTGAAAACCATTTCCATGGGCATTCCTGGAAGGATGAGTTGACTCCAGATGGGCAGTGCTGAATTTCTCTTCAGGGGTTGTTTAAAAAGAATTTTTGTACTTCTGAAAAACTTGGGTTTTACCCGTCAAGGCTGTTGATACCACCCTCCTGTGTGTCAGCATGTGTGGTGCTGTTTTGATTACACAATCAACAGCCCTCTCAGCCCAATGATCCGAAATGGAGGGAATTATGAGGAACTGAAGGGGGAACTTATGAGTTGGATGTTTTCTCCAAAGTAGGTAAAAGGCCATAGAGCTGGCAGCTGTCTTTGACAGAGCTCCCCAGGAAGCTTTAATGATCAACAGATTCCCCCCTCTCTTCCGCTTTAATTTACACACACACACAGCTTTGTGTATCCAGGCCTGCATGTATTTAAGGACCCAGGCTGTTATTGGCTGGTCCATCTGCTTTTAATCCATCACTGGACAACAGCTGGATTTTGGGCCACATTTCACTCCCTTCTCCCAACCTGACCTTCCCTCTGAAAGATTCTTGGCCTTCAGGCTTATGCAATGGGTACACCGTGTGTAGGCACACGCAGGCGCAGGTTACAAGGCGTTAACAGCACCAGCCAGCACTGCAGCAGGAAAGAATAATATTTCTTGTTCCTGGAGCAAGTAAAGATACTGGTGTTTATTCTCTGGGAGGGAACCCTGGCCACAACAGCAGCAGCATTTTCACAGTATTCAGTACATGCTGTTTAGAGAGGCCACCAACTGGGTTTTGGAAACAAGAATTGCAAATGCTGTTTTCATTAATAATTTTTTAAAAAAGAATTAATACCATTTCATTCAGTGCATCCTTCCACTTCACTCTCGGCTTAGTCCTGGCACTGACTTTTCCGGTCATGGTCATTTTTCTGAATAAAACCAGGCGGACATGATTTTTTAGGTTGTAAGTCAGCCAGCTGGGTCTATTTGCTGAGCCATAAGCAGTTCTTTCTGCTGCTACTAGTATTCAGCGACATACTACTCTACTCCTGAACATGGAAGGTGAAACTTAACATGGTGCTAAAGAAATAATTTCACCTGTAAAGCTTCAAATGGTCTACCATTGAATTATAGAGTTGGAAGGCACTCCTAATGTCATTTAGTCCAGCCCCCTAAAATGCAGAAATATGCAGGTAGCTTGTATGGGGATCGAATCCATGCCTTGGCTTTATCAAAACCACACTCTAACCAACTGAGCTAACTGGCGTTGATCAGAATACACTGAGAACTGCCTTCTCCCATATGATCCGTTTAGTACATGTCAATTTTCAGAAGCCCTCGTATGCTTTTTTGATTCCTTAGAATCTTTGAGGTTCTTGCTGCGCAACCAGCACTTTTCTGAGGAACCATAAAAAGCAGAATTGACATGCTTCTCTGTGATTAACTCTGCATCACCTCACAGTGCAAATGTGCACAGAATCATGGAAGTGATCATCAAATGCAAATGACATGACATTAGGCAGCCATAAGACTACTGCAATGTGCTCTACGTAGGACTACCTTTGAAGGTGACCCGGAAACTACAACTAATCCAGAATGCAGCAGGTAGACTGGTGACTGGGAGTGGCTGCCAAGACCACATAACACCGCTCTTGAAAGACCTAAATTGATTCCCAGTATGTTTCCAGGCAAAATTAAAAGTGTTGCTGCTGACCTTTAAAGTCCTAAACGGCCTCAGCCCAGTATACCTGAAGGAGGGTCTCCACCCCCATCATTCTACCTGGACACTGAGGTTCAGCGCCAAGGGCCTTCTGGCGGTTCCCTCGCTGCGAGAAGCGAAGTTACAGGGGACCAGGCAGAGGGTCTTCTTGGTAGTGGCCCACCCTGTGGAACGCCCTCCCATCAGATGTCAAAGAAATAAACAACTATCAGACTTTTAGAAGACATCTGAAGGCAGCCTTGTTTAAGGAAGCTTTTAATATTTGATGAATTATTGTTGTTATGTACTGAAGTTCTCACCCTGGGCCAGCACGGGGATGCTGTAGATAGTTATGCAAATGAAGGATTGAAAGTGACGTTCTGTGATTAGATAGTTTGTATGCAAATGAAGGGTTGAAAGTGACGTTCAGTGATTGGATAGTTTTAGAAAGTTGCAACAGTTACATTGTTCTGGAGCTCTATATAAGCAGGCTGACTAAGCTCCTCAGTTCAGTTCTGTTCCAGCTTACAAATAAAGAGCTGCTTTGGAAGAATCGCTGTGTCGTCTGATATGTTCACCCACGACTTAACAATTGTATTTTAATATTTTGCTGGAAGCCACCCAGAGTGGCTGGGGAAACCCAGCCAGATGGGTGTGTTATTAATAATAATTTATTATTATTATTATTATTATTATTATTATTATTATTATTATTCAGTCATCCACTAAGGAGTTTTCCTGCTCATGCTCCAGTGAAATAAGTGTGAGATGTGCAAGAATTCACATTCATTTCAGTAGAGCTCACTCAGCAAAACTTCCCAGGAGATTGTGTGTCCTGAGGCGCTCATTCTTTATCTCTACCACAGGAAGCAAACTATAACAGATGTCATGTGACAGATAATGTGTCACAGGAGGTCTCATGAGGGATCAGGGGTCTCAGGTGTCCTGTGACAAGAGGTTTTCTAAAGCAAACAGTTGCACTCTTTGAGTTTTAAAAATAAATATTTTGATAGGGTTCTTCCGCTCAGAGATAGTGCGTATGGGCAACATACGCATGTGCCGTGTGAAAGTTTGGAAGGCAGTTGTAAAATCTGTGGTGTAGAAGTTTTTTAAAGCATCTTATTATTTGTGATTGAGGAGATTAGAGGGAATGCATAGGCCTGTCTCTCTCTCTCTGTGTGTGTGTGTGTGTGTGTGTCTGTGGAGCATGTCAGCACCCCTGAGAGCAAGGCTAGCCCAAGCCAATTTACTGCCCAAGTCGAAGGACAAGATGGTGGCCCTCTCATTCCATGTACAGAAGCTGAACAGACTGGTATTTGGATCTTATTTCAGTAGACCTAATGGCAAAAGAGTGGCTTAGAAAGCACAGAGCAGGGCAAACGGAATGCACAGATCTGCTCTCCAACATTTCACTGCCATTCCCCACATCATCTGCCATGCTAGGCCGCTTCACTTTGACTAATGGTAGGGCCAGTCCTGCCTGAAAGTCCCCTTTTCATGCTAGACAGGTTTACATGCAAATATTCAACACATCCCTTATTTTTACTACAGTATCCTCTGTTGGAAGACCAAAAGGCACATCCTTCACAGAAACACAGAATGTGTATCAAGGTTTTGCTGGGAGATAATACTGAAAATGTGCAAGAATTCTCAAAGATTATAGACAGGCTCTGAGATGACATTGTCAAGGTCCTTTAGTACTCTTGGCTGCAGCTCAAACATAGCCAAAGAAACCCTTTAAAATTTGTTTTTAACCTCTCCTGCAATCTTGCCAACCTGAGTTGTTGGAGGATAGGGCTACGTCTGGGTTGGGGGTTTCCTTAAAAAAGTTCAACAACTTTCGGGGTCGGGGTTTCCTGGATTTTTATTAGAGGAGAATGGAGCTTTTTACAGATGACCTGCTTATTGTGCATTTATTCTGATCTTCTTGCATGAAGTTTGTAGGGAGGTCATACAGTGTCTACTATTCACTGAACATTTATTCTGATTTGTTTTGTGGGGAGGTTATACAATGCTGTGTCATGCATTTTTTACCCCACGCTTTCCAATGTATTTTCCCATCAGTTTCCTTGAAGTCATGTCCAATTTCTTTTTTTAAATTTTTTAATTTTTTTTATTTTCAATGGAAAATTACAACAAAAATTACAAACATTGAATCCAAAATAAAACAGTACTTTTCCTTGTTTGTACTGTTTCAATTTCATTTTTTTTATTGCACAAGAGCACCAAAACCACTTTTATCGCCCAACCTAAATTTGCCAGTATATGTTTAGGTAAAGGTAAAGGGACCCCTGACCATTAGGTCCAGTCATGGCCGACTCTGGGGTTGCGGCGCTCATCTCGCTTTATTGGCCGAGGGAGCCGGCGTACAGCTTCTGGGTCATGTGGCCAGTATGACTAAGCCACTTCCGGCGAACCAGAGCAGCGCACAGAAATGCCATTTACCTTCCCGCCGGAGTGGTACCTATTTATCGACTTGCACTTTGTGCTTTCGAACTGCTAGGTTGGCAGGAGCAGGGACCGAGCAACGGGAGCTCACCCCGTCGCGGGGATTCGAACCGCCGACCTTCTGATCAGCAAGCCCTAGGCTCTGTTGTTTAACTCACAGCGCAAATAATGCCAATCTGGAAGCAGCTGGAATGTCAAGGGCTGGTCATACACAAACAAATGATCCATGCTGGGACACAGCTCGTGACAACAGAGGTTTAAAACTGTTGGGAGTGAAATCTTAAACTGCATATACACCATGGCTTGTCTCCAAAATAGCATAAAGTCACCCACTCCATTAGCATAAGGATTTCTGCGTGTGCAATAGAACTTCTTCCCCTCTGCTCCACCCATGTGCCCTCTAAATCAGTTTTGGGTTTTGCTTTCTGGAGAATATTTGGCGAGGAGAAGAAACTGGTGCGTATGGGGATGGGAGTTCTGTTGTGCAAGTGCAAATACTTGTGCTAATGTAACAAAGGCATTGGATACCACTCTGTACATTTAAACTATGCTTCCAAAGAATCCTGATAAAGTAGTTTGTTAAGGATGCTGGGAATTGTAGCACTGAGAGGAGTAAACTATAGTTTTTCCAAAGAATCATAGGAAATGTGTTTTAAATATATGATGTGTGTCCGCTGCCTTAGAGGAGAGTACCTCTCTCTCCTTGCTCTCAAAACAAGTGGCCGGCCTCAACCTTGTGCTTTCTTTCAGACTGTAAAGACTCAAAGGACAATATCACTTTCTCATTTCACTCTTTTCTTGAGTAAATATGCCCAGTTGGTTCAACATTTCTTCATAGGATTAGCATTCCAAATACATCTTATCTAAAGCTTCTTATCTGAAAACCCTTCCTATGAACCTTCATCAGTCTGTCAATGTCTTGTGTGAAGTGTGCAACATCCCAAACTGGGGGAAGTAGACCGGCTGAGGCCTGATTAGAGTACAGCAGAGCAATGACCTCTTCATGTGCTTTCCTCACAGTGTTCCTGGCTATTAGTGAGTCAGGAGTTGGGGGCTTCCAGATATGGACAATATAGAAGAACCTAATCACTGCTGTTCTGTTTTAAGTTGGAAGTGGAATAGCGACTCTGCTTCCACTGAGGTGTGTATGGGACATCATCTACTAAAGATGGCGTACTAGTCCTTTACTCCTGCCTCACCTCAAGAACTAATTGCACAAATTGATGCAAAAATAACTTGCCCTAACAGAACATAAGCAAAGTTGTCTTGAACTCCAAAAATACAACTTAATTTACCTACCTGCACTTGATAAGTTCTCTTTCCCTCTTGTGAAGGCCTTGCATATTAAGGCTTAGTGGTGTGTAAAGGTATGAGGCCTGCTAAGGAACACATAATGGTTATAAAGGATATGTTCCTTCAGTTTAAGCAGGAAATCTCAGGTGAATTGCATTAAACAGCAGATCATATTTGGGAGCAGATTAAGGCCGTGATGCCTGGAAGAATACCTCTGATAACACTTAGCTCTACTTCTCCATAACATCTGAGCCAGGAGAGGCTGTTTGGAGTAACCAACCTCATATAACTAACATGCTTCAATCAAATTAATGCATGAGTAAGCTGTCCTGTCCACTTTCCATCATCTTGGGAGGAAATGGGCAACCAAGCCTATTGTTCACCTTCAGTCTACCTGAGAAGCTCAGTGTGTGAAGAGGTTTCAGCTGGTTGCTCCACCTCAACTGCAGGGCTCCCACAGTTCTTGAAATTCTTATACCAATAATTTAGGAATTTTCACTACTTTGTAACTAAGCTAAGATTTACTTTCTGTGCAACTTTTCTGAAGCACATGAATCTGATCTTTGGAGAGTTTGTAAGTAAAGATTTTAAACTTACCTAATATGTTGTCTTTTCCTATGCAGGGGCAAGGGGGGAAATGGAACTTTGGAAAGAATTTTTTTAATACATTTTGGAACTCACTTAGAAGGGCATATTTTAAAGATCTAACAGTCTATATTTCCACACTTTACTTAGCTCCGTATTTTGTAGCTTTAAATCTCTGCTGGGGTTCCCACACCAAAACGTACTTGCCCCAAACTTGGATCTTGACATGCAGGAATTTTTCTCGTATATATTTGAGAGTATATTTGCAATCTATATTTCCTCTGGAAATAATGTAATGTTTTTGTTGTTGTTTTTGGTGTAATTAGGAAGAAATGAAGAATCTCTGAAAATGCAAAGTTACTGCAAAAGATTGCAGGAAAGATTGACTCACCATTTCTAAGGGGTGACTTCTCCATTTCTATAGAAAAGTATAAGTTGGATGTAAGACCCTTATTTATGCCTTATTTCCTGTTTCTGTTTATTTCATTGACTTCCTAGGCATTTCTTGATTCGTTGGAAAATGGGTTAATTCATTGACAGCCCTTCTTCAAACTGCTCAAGCCTCTTCTGTACTGCTTCCTCTTCCCCAGCTTCCTCTTCCTCCTCCTCCTTCCTCCCCTCACTTCAGGCCTGACACTGCAGTCCCTTTGAGGGATTGCTTGCCTTGAGTCAGCAGAGTCTGCCTATCTTCCTGTCCCCGCTGATCTGTTTTGCAAGTTATTTAATGCAAATGAGGAAACAGAGAATGACTACCAAGCACAAACACAGGAAAGCAGCAGGAGACAAAACAACTGCCTTCTTTTCCTAGAAGTCCATACCGTCCAACTTTTTCAGACCCCAAACTGGAATGTGCCTCTTCAGAGATGTGCTCTCAGCTGAGTCATGTTACCCAGGGCTGGATTTAGGTTTGATGAGGCCCTAAGCTACTGAAGGTAATGGAGCCCTTTATATGTCCAGCTGTCCTCTGTCAACAACAAATTGTCGCTGTTTTTTGTGTTGAATATATGCTATATGGTAATTTATGGACCTAATAGGTATCTAAAGCCATTTGCACATAACAAAATATGTGTTTTATCAAAGCAATTGTTGAACTGACATACAATTAAGAAGTGTATTAATAGTGAAATACAATTTTTCCCCTTTAATTTTTTTGGGGGGCCCCCAAGAGAGTGGGGCCCTAAGCTATAGCTTGTTTAGCTTATACGTAAATCCAGCAGTGATGATACCTGTGCCTCGTCCTCCCCCCACCCAAGTACTTTTTTCAGGGCAGGAGCATAGCACAAGATTGCAGTACCCAAAGTGGCTGCTGTGATCTCATATGAAGAAATAGGATGTCCCATTTTTTTCTGGGGCACTTGGCAGATATGGAAGTCTCAATCCTGACAGCAGGGGCAGACTTTGGTAATATGGCGTCCTGAGCAAGGACCTAAATATTTCTTATTTTCACACTGATTCCTTTTGGTACAGTTTACCCATATATTTACCCATATATAGGTATTATTATTATTATTATTATTATTATTATTATTATTATTATCATCATTGGCTTTATTATTTTGTGCCCCCTCAGCTCAGTGCCCTGTTGACAGTCTTCGTCTGCTAGTACAGGTGCTAAGCAATAAATGTTCCAGAGAATCTCTGAGTGTTTCACAATCTCCCAAACAACGAAAGGAATAGCTGCCAAGTCCCACAAATAGAATCATCCTAGCATATCTACAGCCACCATCTCTGCTGTTGTGGAGATGCAAAAGGTTCAAACCCAGATACATACTTTGGGCTAACCCAAAGTCCAAACAACCCAGGATTGTGGGGTTGTTGAGGTAGACTCAACAGTTGCTTGTCATATCAGGTCAGGAGACCTTTCCCTTCTGTTGGGAGCATAAATGTGAAACATAGATTTACTTGCCTATAATTATACATTCACTTTTTAAAAACTAGATTCTAACACAACTGAGTGAAAGAGAAATCAATGGAATTCTGTGCCCTTAGTTTGATAATGTTCTGAAAGAGAAGTTCATAAACCAAGTGAAAGCACAGCAGTGTGCCATAACCATCTGCCTTACCTAGGCTTGGGAGCATCTCTAAAGGATTTTGTTCAGGAGAGGGCGTGTTGATGCAATGTGCCTCTAGCTTTTACTGCAACAGGTGGTAGCTTTGTGTGAGCATACATAAAATTCAGGACCTCCCAGTGTATGAGGATGGCCCGGCGAGACTACATACGGAGTGCTGAAACACCCATAGAGATGGGTGAATCTGTCAGTTTTGGCCTCTCTCCTTTTCTCATTTTCCCAACCTTAATTTCAGTTCTCTACATTTCTGCAGAAATTAAAATTCTGCATAAAAAAAATCTTTATGAAAATTCTTCAGCATTTTAAAGTGAATTTCTCCTAATGGACACACTTTGCATTCAGTTTTGACTAATATATACATTTTTTCAGTACGTTGTGCATTTCACATTCCTGATGTACCAAACCTTCATGAAAAAACAACTTCTTTGGATTTGCGAGTTTGAATATGCACTTTCCCCCACCTGCACCCTGAACTGGTTCAACCCCAACAGTCTATGCCATGCAATTATTCTGAAGGTGTAGATCAGTTTTAAGATATGCCCAATATTCTCTGGAATGGAGACTTGGTGAGAGATGTTACTGTGCAGTAAATAATGATTCACCCATTATATACCTGCCCTGAATTTCCTTGAGAGGCAGTCTGATTCTTACTCTAATCAAGCCTGCCCATTCCCCTAACTGGCGCCAAGAAGTCAATAAAACCATCCATCTTTATGTTTCCCTATCAAATAGCATGGGAAAACCTATGACTCAAGCCCAAGCTTTGCAAAATCTCATTTCCACTTTGACTTTTCCTGTCATTTGACCCCTTGATCCCCCACCTTTTTCTTTTCCAAGGAGAGGCATGTTTGGGAAGATCTTCCCTAAATGTTGCTGCCTGTGTCTTTCCTTTAATATTGTTCTCTTGACTGGAAAGACTAAGTAGCATCTCCATACCTCAGTGGAAACAGACACCAGTCACCAGCTTCCTGTAGCTGCGGCGTCCTCCCTGTTCCTCCAGAGAGCCATTATTAAGGAAGAAGAAAAACCTACTCCTTGCAGATATAGCTCGCTGGATTGGGAGCTGCTTGTAACATCTATGAAATGACTCGCTGTTTTTCTCCTTCCTGAAATAGCTTTATTTTTAAAATATCTAATAATAGCTGATTGCAATTCATTTAGATAAACACTACAAGGCACCAGTCGTATTCCCCGTTTTAGAAACAACTTTCCGTTGCTTCCACAAAAAAGTACCGTATTTTTCGCTCCATAGGACGCACTTTTTCCCCTCCAAAAATGAAGGGGAAATGTGTGTGCGTCCTATGGAGCGAATGCAGGCTTTCGCTGAAGCCTGGAGAGCGAGAGGCATCGGTGCGCACCGACCCCTCTCGCTCTCCAGGCTTCAGGAAGCTATCCGCAAGCCTTGCAAGCCCGGTGGGAGTTCCCGCGGGCTCACAAGGCTTGCAGGCAGCAGCCTGCAGCCCCGGCGAGTGTCCGCAAGCCTTGCGCGCCCGGCAGGAGGTCCCGCCGAGCGCGCGAGGCTTGGGGCAGCAGCCTGTTGCCCGAAGCACGGGAGCCCTCCGGAGGGCTCCCGTGCTTCGGGCGAGTGTCTGCAAGCCTTGCGCGCCCGGCAGGAGGTCCCGCCCGGCGCGCAAGGCTTGGGCGGCAGCCTGTCGCCCGAAGCACGGGAGCCCTCCGGAGGGCTCCCGTGCTCGGGCGAGTGTCCGCAAGCCTTGCGCGCCCGGCAGGAGGTCCCGCCCGGCGCGCAAGGCTTGGGGCTGCAGCTGTCGCCCGAAGCACGGGGAGCCCTCCGGAGGGCTCCCCGTGCTTCGGGCGAGTGTCCGCAAGCCTTGCGCGCCCGGCAGGAGGTCCCGCCCGGCGCGCAAGGCTTGGGGCTGCAGCTTGTCGCCCGAGCACGGGGAGCCCTCCGGAGGGCTCCCGTGCTTCGGGCGAGTGTCCGCAAGCCTTGCGCGCCCGGCAGGAGGTCCCGCCCGGCGCGCAAGGCTTGGGCGGCAGCCTGTCGCCCGAAGCACGGGAGCCCTCCGGAGGGCTCCCGTGCTTCGGGCGAGTGTCCGCAAGCCTTGCGCGCCCGGCAGGAGGTCCCGCCCGGCGCGCAAGGCTTGGGGCTGCAGCTGTCGCCCGAGCACGGGGAGCCCTCCGGAGGGCTCCCGTGCTTCGGGCGAGTGTCCGCAAGCCTTGCGCGCCGGGCAGGAGGTCCCGCCCGGCGCGCAAGGCTGGGGCTGCAGCTTGTCGCCCGAAGCACGGGGAGCCCTCCGGAGGGCTCCCTTGCTTCGGGCGAGTGTCCGCAGCCTTGCGCGCCCGGCAGGAGGTCCCGCCCGGCGCGCAAGGCTTGGGGCTGCAGCTTGTCGCCCGAAGCACGGGAGCCCTCCGGAGGGCTCCCTTGCTTCGGGCGAGTGTCTGCAAGCCTTGCGCGCCCGGCAGGAGGTCCCGCCCGGCGCGCAAGGCTTGGGGCTGCAGCATGTCGCCCGAAGCACGGGGAGCCCTCCGGAGGGCTCCCCGTGCTTCGGGCGAGTGTCTGCAAGCCTCGCGCGCCCTGTGGGAGGTCCCGCCGAGCGCGCGAGGCTTGGGGAGGTAGCCTGCCGCCCGAAGCACGCGAGGCTTGGGGCGGCAGCCGCGGGGGGGGGGGATAATTTTTTTTATTCATTTCCCCCCCCAAAAAACGAGGTGCGTCCTATGGACCGGTGCGTCCTATAGAACGAAAAATACGGTAAATCCACACAGTTAATCAGGGATAGCACAGAAAAACCAAGAAATATTCTGACTGATTCCCCATGGAGCCTCAATAAGGCACACAGTGACCACCTTTTCATAGCCAACACATCAAAAAGCCATGTTGTCCTGGACTGATGCCAGCAATCCAGAGATGTAGTGGGGGCAGCCCTACCAGAGATTAGATTTGCCATATAACCGCTGAGTGGCAGAAATGTTTGCAGAGCTTCTCTGAGTTCAAATAGAAGTATAAGATGCATGTGGGACAGGAAATAGTGTGTGGCATGGAGAATTTTGGGGCTATGTGTGTTAAAAATGGCTTGACATTCTCCATGGGTGGCTGTGTCCTCGCAACCCTAGTGGAACAGCCTCCACTGCTTGAATGGCAAGCAACTTGTAAATGCAAATGAGCAAATTCTTAGCTGTAGAAGAAGGATAAACAGAAATTTGAATCTGACTGAGGTGAAAGAGATTGTGTGGATGAAATGAAAAGACAATGCAAGGCCAGGCTTACAGGCTTGGAACTGGAGTGGCAGAGAAGAAGGCCAGAAGGACGCTTTTCTTCTTCTTAGGAAATGGGTCTAATAAGGATTAAATATTCTACATGGAAACAGCAAGTCAATGCATGGTAATAAATTAATGGTGAATGCTTGACCAATAGCTAACAGATCTTCAAAGGGGAAATCAAAGCAGTTCTAAATGCAGAGTCTAGGCAGTAATATAACAAATAATGCAATACCTAGTTGGGGAAGAATAAAATTTTCCCAGTTTTTCATGACCTGGACAGGGATCCAGAAAGCTTGGAACTCAGCACTCATAGTATCTGCCCACTGAATTACATAATCATTGAGAATCTGGTTCAGGCTGACATGATCAATGCTCTTCAGGGAATGTATTTATACGTTTTTATTTAGAATATTGAACGATTTATTAGAAAACTCGTGCCTATAAAATAGGACCTGACTTTTTAAAGCAGGGGTGCTAAGCTATGACCCTTCAGATGATGCTGTGCCATCCCTGACCACTGATGGTTCAGCAACATCTGGAGGGCCACAGCTTCCCCACATGTGTTCTAAAGCAGAGACCTGTGGTCCTCCAGATGTTGGGCTGTAGCTCCCATCATCCCTGACCATTGGCCATGCTGGCTGGGTCTGATGAGAGATGGAGGTCAACCACATTTGGACAGCCACCAGTCTCCACCGCTGTGCTAAAGAGAATACATTTGGGCCCATCCAAGCAAAGAGCAAACTGGCTGATCCAATTGCTAAGGTGGGTGTCATTGCTGCTCATTGCTGCTGTGGATTTGGTGCCTTTCTAAGAGGCACTGTGGCACAGTCCAAATATTTCCCCCTAAGAATTCTGAAATATGATTGCGGCAGTTTGACGTATGCTTTTGTGTTTATAGAGGCAGAAGTACATAATTTTGTATGTGCTTATTTCCTCCCATTTAATTTGCACAATAGTTCCACAGTCAGGCAAAACCTGAAGGTTCTGAAAGATATATTAGAGGGGAGGGACCAGCAGATTGGAGTAGGGAATTTCAATTGCAGGGGCAGGGTTCTTCCTATTGTTGTTTTTGCTTTTTGTGAGTGTATTTGTAACATACCTCACATCCTCTCTCCACCATGCAGCTGTCATGGCTAAAAAGAATAAGTTGGAGTTCTTGTTATTAAATATACCAAGAAAAAAGCACACCAAGAACTCAGGCCAATGTAAGTTTCAATAGTGGGAGTGGTCCCTACTCACAAGTCAAGTCAACAGTAACAAAAACTAATCCGTTCAAAAGTATGTATTCTGACAAGAAATACAAACTCAGGTAGAGATTACAAACTCTAACAGAGATTACAAACTCAAACTCATAAAGATACGTATAACACAATAATTCATTACAAAGATTTTCTCTTTTTCACTCAACAATAATGTTGATCCTTATAATTTATCAGCTTGCAAATGGAGATTCAGTTTCAATCATAGAGCAGAAGTCAGAAGTCAATCATGGATTAGGAGCCAGGACAGGGCCCTGTTTCGATGTATTCACAACATACAAATATATAAAATTACATTAATAATGTAATAAATATAACAAAAAGTTTAAAAACAACAGTGTACAATTCATTAAAAAGAGCCCAGCATCTGTCCTACTTTAACAAACAGACTCTTGTTTTCAAAAAGCCTGGTCAATGTCAGCACCAGCCTAAGGTGTAATTATATATTTTACACCCCAACATTAGTTTCACATGTAGTGTATCAGCACAACTACGTCATGGGAAATGCAAAGTTCAAATACGGCAATCTTCCACAGACACCTCTTTCCAGTGCAGTAGAGCACGTTCTACCAGATCCATAGTGGGAATTTATTACCTCCATACTTGATAGCTCATGGCCAATTGTAAACAGCTTGTGGTGTCCCTTTTTGCTTTGTCCCAGAAATCCTCAGGAATGTATAGTTATTGTGCTTGCTTCGGCAGCACATATACTGTACTAAAAGAATGTATGATTTTCAAGCCCATGTTTGGTTTTCATTTGATTTACTCAATTATTACTTAGAATAAGGCCTGCTGAGATGCAATGGCCTCAGTCACAGGAACATCCAGTTATCAAACAGGCAGGGTTAAGTCAACATTCCAGGAGAGTTCAACAATGGCAAGGCAAATAAAGGGCAGACCTCTGTTGCGTGCATCACACTGACCAAGAACAGAATTGGCCAAGAGAGCCAATGGAAGCATTAGGAAATGGGGTCTTTCAGATGTCCCCAGTCTTCACCACTGATGCTAAGCAGGAAACAGTCCACTTCTGCTGTTATCATCTTAGCTTGGCCTCACTGAAATAGCATTTTTAAGGAACCAAGATAAAAGTAGAATGACATTTTAATACAGAAACAAAGAACTTCCTGTTTTCAGTTGAGCATCCTAGAAGCCTTGAGTCTACTAATCTGACACACCCATTACAGAGCACTGCAGCGCTAGATTTACCAGAGGTCCCAAATAAATCAGGATAAACTGTAGGTCATGTTGTAGGCCCATCTGAGTCCCGTGGCTAGGAGTCTCCAAGGAGCGTTGCCTGAGAGCAGAATCTACATACAAAGTCAGATAGTCCAGAGGTCAGGGAATCAAGATGATCACAGAGTCAAGGGTCCAGATGGAGAGCAGGAAGCAGCAAGGTGGGGCCTGGAAGCACAAGCCTTGTTTCCAGCATCTGGCTGCTGCTGGAAGCTCTGCTTAAGAAGGCTGAAACCAGCTAGTTCTCATCAATGGCTTCTCCTCTGTGTCTATGCCAGCTGATCAGCTGCAGATGGGAGTCACTCCTGGGCCTTCTCCACCTTCAGCAGGTGAAGCTGACTCCTGGGCCATGACAGGTCATCTCCACATCCATTGAGCACAGTGAGCTCTGCTTTTATGCCTTAATGAAGGAAAAGAATTAAGAATAAAAGAAGATGCCTCCTGAATGAAAACAAAGGGCCCTCTAGTACAATATTCTTTTCTCACAGATGCCTATGAGAAGCCTCCCAAACAGCATTAATATTAAGTGTGCCTTCAGCAGCGGGCCTTGGAATCTATTGGCATGTAGCAAATTGTTGATTAAAAGCAGGCAGTACTCTAAAAATTTTACTATTAGCCATAGGAAACAGACAAGCAGCAGGTTAAAAACAAATACCTTTACCTCTTATCTTTGCCAATGGAAGATATCAACATTGCTCAGTAAATGCCACAGGGGCATACCTAGGGGTTGGTCAGGTTGGCCCCCGCTGCTCAGAGAAGTGCATTGATTGCACCGTATTTTTCTTGCCCTCCTCAGCAATGCAAAATGATGTGTTTCTTGCTTGTCTGCATGGGCATTGTGTGTGTTCCTTTGGTATCTAGAAGGAAAGAAGCCTAAGAATGTTGCGGCAGTGGAGGAACCCAGGACTGGGGTGGCTCTTCCTGGAATGTGGACAGCACTCGCTCCATTGGCCCATCTGAAGGCAGATGGATGTGGAGCTGCACAGAGTGAACATGCATCAAAGGGACTGGATGCACCTTGTAGCATCACTGGTGCCAGCCCAGTCCAAGACAACAGAAGCCAATCTGTGATGCAAACACACAAGCCTGGAAACTATCCCAGTACATTTGAGGGCATAAAAGAATAGAAAAGGCCTAGCTTGTTCACAATTATTTTTAGCCACCCGCTTCCACCCACTATGACTAAGGTCAAAAGGCTATCGTCCCTCCTGGGAGCCTGGTGGTCTTTCTTTTCTATACAGGGTGGGGGGAAGTATGAGGTCAGTGGCTTTTCTCCTTTGTTTGGTTGTTTTGAAGCTATCAAGAAAAATCTACCAGGTTCCAAAGAAGTGGATGTGGTGGGATCATCTTACTGAAATCGCTAAATAAGTTCAAGCCCATTGAATAGAATTGTTTCCTAACTTGGTGTTTAATAAGTGCCAGAAAGCAAGAGCTGGACAGTGGGAAAAGGCAGCAAGATCTGATTTATGATTTATGATATATTTTCTGTTTGCTGTGGATGTGTACACATGTTCAGGGAATTTTTGGATACATCTACAGTGACACTTCACCTTGGATTATCAGTACATGATGCGGCTTCTGTACTGTTAATATAAAAGGAAGAACTGGAGCAAGAGCAGTTTTCCCATGAGCACAAGCAATATGACAGGAGAAGAAGCTACATGTGCAAAAAGACTCCCTTCCATGGGGATAGCCAAAGGGGGGGCAAGGAGGGGCCACTGCCCCCCTAAATCAATAAAAATACATGGCTAACTGAGGTTCTGCCTTCCCCTAACAAAAATCCTGGCTACGCCCATGCTCCCTTCCATGTGATTATCAAAGACACAGGAGCCCTGTCCTGCATTGCACTGAATTTGGCAACCGTACATCAGGGTTCAGCTGAAGGCTGCAGTCAGAGGGGAGCCATGAGTTATGCAACAGAGTTTTGAGCAGGCAAGCACACCAGAACATGCCACTGCCAGGAAGACCATTGCAGCCCAGATAAACTCCCACAGTCCCACCCCAGACAGGACGTCCTTTATTGCCCTTTCAGTCTAACAAGGCCCAGTGGCCAGCCTGGGGAAGGGCAGTGCGTAGGGACATAGGAAGCTGCCTTATCCTGAGTCAGACCATTGGTCCCTCTAGCTAAGTATTATCTGCACTGACTGGCAGCTTTTCTTCAGAATTTCAGACACAGAAAGTTTTCTCCCAGCCCTACTTGACACCCTATGTATAAACTACTCTAAATTCATAGTATTAACAGCACAGTTTATATCATTGTGAAGATAGCTCCTTCATAAAGCAATCCTGGACTGACTGCGCTGGCTGCCAGTCAGTTTCCAGGCCCAATTCAAATGCTGGTGTTGACCCGCATTTGAAATTAACGCTACTCAATGGACTAGAATGTGGTCTAAATCTCCCTTTAAGTCCATATCGGCCAAAAGAAGGGAATTCACTCTGAAACTCACCTACAGGTGGTAGGTAACACCACTGGTGCTGATACGCCCAGGAACCTCACAATGTTGAAGAAGCTGCACCTCCACAGGCACATACCTCCACATGTGGTGGGAATACCCTAAAGTCCAACCCTTCTGGATAGCAGTCCTACAAGAGATACACAAAACAACTAAACAGGTATTAGAACTCACCCCAGAACTGGCCTTACTGAACATCTTCCAATATCATAATGACCACTCACATTATACAGAGGTTATAACCCACCTACTCTCAGCAGCCAGAAGCCTCATAACTAGACACTGGAGAGACCTGTCAGGAGTAAACATGGACCAATGGTATCAAATTGTACAGGAAACGGCCTTACTAGAAAAGCTAACCAATGAACTGAAACTGACATGGGGACAAATAGAAGAGGACGCCTTCACCCCAGTATGGCTCCCCTTTATCACATACACAGCCCAACAAGACAACAACAAGAATCCACCGGCAGCATACGATTCAATCTGGCTTACCAGACCCAACAAGGCCTCTCCCTCCATCACAAATGCAAACAAACCCCACCGCAGCCAATCACAGACAGCCAACCACACCCTGCCCCCCATACCTCTCACTACCAAGGAAATGTGAAAAACGAATAGAAAGAGAACCTACCCAGTTGATGCTGACACAAACCCCCAGATTTACACTATACAAAAGATTATAAGCCTCCCTCCTTCCCCCCCGCACTGTCCTTCCCAAACCTTAAACTGTACTCAACACTAATGTATCACAACAAATGTAAATGATTTGTAAGAAGGACTGTACAACCTGAAAAAAGAGACAAGGCATGTCTTTTTGTAAACCAATAAAAACTTTAATAAAAAAATGTGATGGGGATTCTCTTATGTTTGGAAGCTCATTGATGAAACTGAATGGAAGCCAGTTGGATAAGCCAAGCTTGCCTTTCCTGATAAATTAGCAGATACCCTCGAGTGACAGTTCACAGCACTGCATACAGAATTAAGTGCACTTTTAAAATTAATGGATTGTGCAATAAAGTATAAAAATCATTCTGTGGCCTCAGGCAAGCACGCACAATGTTACTGATCTAGAGGAAACTTTTATCAAAAGGTAGCTGCTGTAATGGGATAGTAAAGTTTGTTATTGTAGAGGTTTTTTTTTTCTTTTTTAACATGTGGACTATCTGATCTTGCCAAGTTAAGAATCAAACAGGACCCTGAGGCTTTTCGTGCCATTGATATCAGCCTCACAGCTGCTGCTTCTGCTGCTGCTCTTTATGCAGTAACCCGCCCATCAAGCTCCCAGATCTTCCTGGTCTTAAGGCATTTCCACAAGCAGGCTTGTGTGGAGGCTTGCCCACATTGCTCTGGAAAGCCCCCTGAGCCATCAAACTGACGTATGTGGCTTCTTGCTTTCCAAGAAATGAGAACCGACACATTAGATGATGCAGGGCTGCTGTGGAGACCTGTGTTGGCAAATGTGTTGGAGGAAAAAGCAAAACATGACCCAACCTGATGGCCTTCATGGAGTGAAGAATATCCCATCTGAAGTGTAGGTGGGGTCCCATGAAGCAAGACACAGTGATAACAGCAAGAACCTTTACTGAACTAATAGAACTGGACAACAGGGGCAAAGCAACTGCTTATATACCTTTCTGAAGACCTGGGCCACTCCCACTCTCAACATGATTGGCTGTCTAAACTCCCAAGCTGCGAATCATAATTCAGAGTTTAAGGGCCAATGGCAATAGCCCAAATCCTGAAATGTTCTGTGACTGGATATCATGTATTGAATCAGAACACAGACTCAAGCTCAGGCAAACACAGACCACTGAATACATAACACCATTTGTATTTGAAAATTCAAAAAGATTTTGATCCCATTCCTGAAATAAATATTCAGTCCTCTCTGGGACACTATTGATTCCAGGATAAACACAAAGTCAATTAGCTCCTGTGTTTTTAAAATAGTTGCCTATGTTTAGCATATGCTGAATGCACATTAACAGGTTGTTCTGTCTATAAGGGCATACCATACTTATTACACACACACACACACAGAGAGAGAGAGAGAGAGAGAGAGAGAGAGAATTGTTGGCCCAAGGAAATATTTCATTGAGGGGAGATGATGCACCAGGCCAGGAGGAGGAAGTTTACCCAACCTCTTCACCCCACTCCAACTGTCCAGCTTCAGGGACAACTGTTCATCTCCTTTCTTCCCTTTAGGGTGCTTCCAGACCATCACCATTTTGTAGGTGGGATTCAATTGCATACTGGCAAATTTAGGTTGCACACTTGAACGGGATTTGATACTCTTGTGGAATAAAACCCACTTTTGAAGTGGTGGTGGGGAATCAGACTTTTGTGACGGAAATACACTGGCAAGTGTGGGGTATGAGTTGATTGACACAAACATAACAGAATGAATGCTCTGTAAGCAGCCAGCAATGTATAACCTAGCTGCAAACTTTGTGCTATTTTATTTATATTTAGCAAAAATTATGTACCTTTTGACCTCAAATAAAACCTCAAAGTGGTTTACATGCACAAAAAGACATTAAAACTGTCAATAAAGGATTTAAATTAAAAGCATTCCAAATATTTGAAATTAAACATCTTTGGATGAGCTTGTTGAAACAAAGATGATTTTAGCGGGTTCTGGAAACAATAGAGTGAAGCCTGACTGATGTCAACAGGCAGGGAGTTCCATAGTGTGGGTGCTGCCATGCTAAAATATCAGAATGAATGGTCAATGAATGGATTACCTAGAAGCAGTGCATGTCTCTAAGTTCCAGAGGCCTTCTGTCTGCATGGTTCACTTTGCTACCTGGATTTCTGTGACAGCAGAAGGTAACACACCTACACAGGCCTCTCTCTCTATGACTTTTTAAACAAGGAAGCTTTGCAGGTTGTCTCTGGTGTACAGAGCCATCTCCTGCCTTCTCCCTGGGCTCATCTTAACTCCCAGCATGTCTGTACACACAGCCTCCAACTTACTGTGGTAGTGGGGAAGGAATGATATATCTGGCATCTCTTGGTCACACTCCAGCTTGACCCAAAGGTGCAGTGGTAATACATAAAGCAAAATGAGACTCTTGTTCAACTTGTCTCCCGGATCAGCAACTGTATCCATGAGGGCTGTTTTTCCCCTAAGCACAGACAGCAAGCAGGGCTGTGAACTGAATCACTTGGGTTGGCTGATGCTTTCTTGCCTGACTTCACCCACTCTATTTTTTAAGCTTCAGAAGCTCATTTCGCAGTCACTGTTTACACAAAAAACCCTCTCTTTGCCCAGCTTCCTGCTCCTCCATCGCTGACAGACTATTTTCTGATTCAGACCCCTGTTGATTTATCATTTGCTCTCAGACGGGCGCATTTCCTCAGTTTGCTACAATCTACCAATTCAAGTCCCCTCATAAATCTCTCATCTGCGTGCACACTTTTGTGTGCGCATATGCGTACGCGCACACAAATGAATCACGCAATGGAGGTGGAACTAATATTGAGGGCAGGGAGGAGAACACGAGGGATGTTTCCTAACTGGGTGTCCTCGCCGGGGAAAGAGTGTGTACAGAAGGGTTTCTGAGATGCTCTTCAACATATTGGGCATCTAAATAGATAGGAAAGGCTCTTTCGGGTAGCTTCAATGGAATACTGCAAGGTGGCATTTCAAATGTGATAAATCATGTGGTTTACAATACAGAATTATACAATTTTATTATTATGTGCTATATTTATAGTTGACTCTCTACTTATGGCCTGTTCACACTTTTGCTTGCCTCATGTTTTCTTCCTCTTGACCTGTAATTTCTAGGTACAGGTCTGAGAGCTTTTTCTTTTGTCCTGCCACTTTCCTTGGGGAGGCCTGCTGTTTACTGCTGAATCAGAACAAATGTCAACCCGCAGAAAACTTGGTTTATTATGATTCAGCGGTAAACAGCAGGTTTTCTCAGGGGAAAGCGGCAGAGCAGATGAACCACCTCTAGAAAGCATGTGACAAGCAGAGGAGTGGACGAGCCCTGAATGTTTCCTGACTTATATCACTCTTCCAGTGACTGCTTTTGTTTGCTCATGATTTGTTTATCCTGCTGCTTTTGTCACCTATTTGTGTTTCTGCCAACTGCTTAATACCTTCCAGGGACCTGATCACAATGGTAAACTACTTATTGGTGTTTTGATACGATGAGCTATTCCAAGGCTCTGCCATGATTGCAAGAAGAGATTAGAATGTGATAGTTGACTTACTGTATTTTTCGTCCAATAGGGTGCACCGGCCCATAGGACGCACCTCCTTTTTTTGGGGGGGGGAAATGAATAAAAAAAAATTATTCCCCCCCCCAGTCGCGGCTGCCGCCCCAAGCCTTGCGGACACCCGTCCGAAGCATGGGGAGCCCTCCGGAGGGCTCCCCGTGCTTCAGGCTGCAGGCTGCTGCCCGCAAGCCTTGGGAGCCCGTGGGAACTCCCGCTGGGCTTGCAAGGCTTGCGGATAGCTTCCTGAAGCCTGGAGAGTGAGAGGGGTTGGTGCGCACCGATGCCTCTCGCTCTCCAGGCTTCAGCGAAAGCCTGCATTTGCCCCATAGGACGCACACACATTTCCCCTTCATTTTTGGAGGGGAAAAAGTGCATCCTATGGGGCGAAAAATACGGTAATATCTATTTCTGCAAATTTGGGGCTGTGTACTGTATCATCACTCTAGAGCACATTTCTTAATGTAAAATGAAAGTAGGGGAGAGAGAATAAACTGAGAATTTCCAGATGCCAGAAAGTTCTAAACCCAACAGTTCTAAACCATCCACAGACTATTTGTTGGACAATAAGAACACAAGAGCCCTGCTAGATCAGACCAAACGCCTATCTTCTTTTCCTTTCTTTTAATGAAAGCCAGCCTCTAGAGACTTAAAATACACATTTTTAAAGACAGGATTAATTAACTATCAAAACGTATGCTGGCATCTGTCTGTCTCGGGAGAAAATGGAGGAGTGTGCCTTGTGGGTGAAGTCAACCTATTAGAAGGTTGCAGCGTCTGCTGTGGTTGTGGAGACTAATACATGAGCAGCTTTGTTGCAGCTGGGGCAGATGAAGGTGACCATTAGTCAAAACATAACCAAAAAACCCCAACCCAACCTCTAAAAACCCCCAATACAGTGGGACTTCTAGCTACGAACTTAATTTGTTCTGATGGTCTGTTCTTAACCTGAAACTGTTCTTAACCAGAGGCGTGCTTTTGCTAATGGGGCCTCTTGCTGCCGCTGCGCCGTTGGCACACAATTTCCATTCTCATCGTGGGGCAAAGTTCTCAACTTGAGGTAACTCTTCCAGGTTAGCGGAGTTTGTAACCTGAAGCGTTTGTAACCTGAGGTGTTTGTAACTTGAGGTACCACTGTATCAATATTAGCAGTTCCTAAAAAAGTCACTCCCACATAAAAGCCCTAGCAACCAGCTCATCATATTCCACCAAATGCTCCCATACAGTGTTCAACCAGGTGCCTATGAGAAGTTCTGAAACACAGTACGAGTGCAATAGCCCTCTCTCACTGATCCCTAGTATCTGATATTCTGCCTCTGATCTTGGAGGCAATGTATAGCCATTGTGACCAACCGCTTTGGGCAGACCAGGTCCATTCCCACACAATGAAACTCCTATGCTACATCCAACTATCTTTCAGGACTCCTA